GTGAAGCTGAGAATAGTACTCAGGTCCTAATCCAGATTGACTTTTTTTTTTTTTTTTTTTTTTTTGGGGCGAGGGGTGATTGAACCCAGAGGTGTTTAACCACTGAACCACATCCCCAGCGCTTTTTTTATTTTGAGACAGAGTCTCACAGCGTTGTTTAGAACTCACTAAATTGCTGAGGCTGCTTTGAACTTATGATCCTCCTGCCTCAGCCTTCTGAGTCACTGGGATTACAGGTGTGCAACACCACTGCCCAGCTGTACTTTCTTTCAGAAGGTGGTTAGAGCCTTAATATAAAGTGTCTAAGAAGGGCTATGAATTCCATTTTGTAGTACTAGTGATATCGAAATGAAATATACAATATGAAGGAATTAAGAAAAAAATCTCCTGCCAGGCTTAGTGGCACAGGTCTGTAATACCAGCAACTCAGAAGGCTAGGGCAAGAGGATCTCAAGTTCAAAGCCAGCCTCAGCAACTTGGAAGGCCCTAAGCAACTCAGGGAGACCCTGTCTCTGATTAAGATATTAAAAAAGGCCTGGGGATGTAGCTCAGCAATTAAGCGCCTCTGGGTTCAATCTCTGACATCAAGAAGAAGAAACCTTCTTTTCCCATATTTTATCAAAAGAAAATAACTGAGTTTTATTAATGTTTATTAAGCAGGTGGTCATGTCAAAAATATGATATTCCAAGAAAAAACTAGCTCTGATGAAAAATGTGTTGTACCTACTTTGTTCAGTAGGTACAAATTATTGTAGTCCAACTATTCTAACCCCAACAAAATGGAAAAAAGACTGAAACAGTACATACAAATGAAGACAATAATGGTCCAGACTGATATTTACACTTTTAGTGTTAGCTGTGAGCTGTGTGACAAAATAGAGATGATGATAATGATCTGATAACCCGTGACAAGAGCTTTGCCACTCCTAAAAGGTTTAAAGGATATTAGATTTATGGTATTGGGAATCTGACCCAGTGTACTTAACCACTAAGCTATATTCCCAGCCCTTTTAAAAACTTTTTTTATTATTTTTAGTTAGGCATGACAGTAGGATGTATTTTGACATATCATATATACATGGAGTATAACTTACCATTTTTGTGGTTATACATGATGTGGAGTTACACTGATTGTATACTCATATATAAGCATAGGAACATTATGTCCAATTCATTCTACTGTCTTTCCCATTCCCATCCCTCTCTCTTCCCCCCACTCTGGCAGGTCCAATCCAGTGAATTCCCATGCCCCTACCCATGTTGAGAGCCGTAGTCGGAATGGCCCCTGGCATTTTGCCAGAAATAGGTGATGCCAGTGAGCCATTAAGAAGTTAAGCTGTGTGTAATTGCTGTGACTGGATGATGCTGGATTGAAACAGGCTGTGTATTCAGTTGTATATTAGACCCCTGCTGTCCGCCAATAGGGCGTCTCCTGATGCCTCAGGCGCCTGCTACTTTTGAGTTCCTGTTGAGTTCTGGTTGAGCTCTAGCAGGGATTCCTAGAGAGTTTTTGTTGGTTGGTGAAGGTCCAGTAGAGGGAGTTCCGGTTGGTGTGTGGTATTCCTGGAAGCGGGCATGGAGTGTGGGTGAGAGTTGGGGCAAAAAAAGTAGTTCCTGTTTGAACCTACAAGTGCCTGGTGGAGGCTCAGTTATTTTTGTGCCCAGCCAGACTTCGGCACACCCCCTCCCCCCCATTGTAAGTCAGCCTCTACTTATCAGAGAGAAGGAACATTCAGACTTTGGTTTTGTGGGAGTTACTTATTTCACTTAGCATGATAGTCTCTTGTTCCATCCACTTGCCAGCAAATGCCATAATTTCTTTCTTTTTCTTTCTTTTTTTTAATGGCTGAGAGAAAGTCCATTGTGTATATGTACCACATTTTCTTTATCCATTCATCTGTTGAGGGCACCTAGGTTGGTTCTATAGCTTAGCTATTTTGAGTTGAGCTGCTATAAATGTTGATGTGGCAGAGTCACTGTAGTATGCTGATTTTAAGTCCTTTGGTTATATGGGGGGGGGGAAATGGGATAATTGGGTCAAATGGTGTTCCATTCTAAGTTTTCTGAGGAATCTCCATACTGTTTTCCAGGTGGTTGCACCAATTTGCAGACCCACCAGCAATGTATAAGTGTACCTTTCCCCACACCTTTTTGTTTTTTGAGCCAGGGTCTTGCTAAGTTGCTAAGGCTGGCCTCATACTTGTAATTCTATGTTCAGCTTCCTGAATTTCTGGGATTAGAAGCATGTACCACTGCACCCAGCATAAAGGATTGTTTTTAAATATAAATATATATCTGCTGTCATTTTATGAGTATATTATACCCTAAGTACATATTGGGTCTTAAATGCGGTCTGTTAATGTGGAGTCAGTGTAATTGAAACATTTAAAAATTTTGCTTATTTTATCTTTAAGCCTTTTATTTCCATTTTATGTATTTTAGTTATTTTAAGTATTCCCCTTAGAGACTGAGGAGGCGGTGCCATAAACACACACACACACACACACACCTGTGTGTGTGTGTGTGTGTGTGTGTTCTTAGTAAAATTTTGTTTATAAAAATGGTTTTAGAGGTTTTCAGAAAGGTTTGAAAAACTCTTACATAGATGTTGAGAGCAACTGATAAAAACTTTTGAGTAGATAACTTTGGTGGTAACACAGATTTCTATTTATTCTTACCTGATTATATGCACATAAGAAGTATTAATCTGAGGCCTGGATTAATTAAGGGATATTTTTCATGTACTGGTTAGTGGTTAGAGCCAAAAAGTACCAATATTTTCATTTTCAAGGCTTTGTCTTTATTAATCTGGGGCTCATTTCTAGTTTTTTCTTTTGTTTTGCAGTATCGAACCCCAGGGCCTCGCCCATGCTAATCAAGTGCTCTACCATTGACCTAATTCCCAGCCCTTTTAAATTTTATTTTGTTTTTTGTTTTGGGTGTTGGTGATTGAACCCTGCAGCATTTTGACACTGGGCTATCCTCCCTCTTTTTTTTGACTCAGGGTCTCACCAAGTTGCTTAGGTTCTCCCAAAGTTGGTGAGGCTGGCCTTGAACTTGTCCTCCTGCCTCAGCCTCACAAATCACTGACACTGCAAATAAGTGCCACTGTGTCCAGCTAGTTTTACATTTCTTTCTTTCTTTTTTTCTTTTAAAGAGAGAGAATTTTTTAATATTTATTGTTCAGTTTTCGGTGGACACAACATCTTTATTTTATTTTTATATGGTGCTAAGGATCAAATCCAACGCCCCGCGCATGCCAGGCAAGCACCTTACCACTTGAGCCACATCCCCATCCCTAGTTTTACATTTCTTAACATCAGGCCATAATATTTAAAAGTACTGGTCAGATGAACAATTATTAAATATAAGGTATTTTTTAGATTATATTTTTGGTGGAGGTATAACTAAGTTCATGGTTTGGTTTGTTTCTTTTGTTTTGGGGGGTTTTTTGGTTGGTTTTGGGGTTTTGGTTGGTTTTGGGTTGTTGTTATTGTTTGTGTATTTGTTTTTGTGGTGCTGGGGATTGAACTTGCAAGGCAAGCACTCTACTAACTGAGCTATATCCCCCAGCCCACTTTTGCATTTGTTTGTTTGTTTGCCTTTTGTTTGTGTGTGCATGTGTGTGCCAGGAATTGGACCCAGGGATACTTAACCACTGAGCCACATCTCAACCCTTTTTTATATTTTATTTGGAGATAGGTTGCTTAGAGCTTCATTAAGTTTCTGAGGCTGGCTTTGAACCTGCAATCCTCCTGCCTCAGCCTCCCAACCTGCTGGGATTATAGGTTTTTCATCATCATGTTCAGTTCATGTTTATTTTTAAAATCAGCATTGTAGCTCTATTAAATTTTACTATGAGGGACTGGGCTTTATTAGCTCAGTGGCAGAGTGCTTGCCTAGCATGTGGGTTCGATTCTCAGCCCCACATAAAAAAAATAAATAAAGGCATTCTGTCCATCTACAACTACCCAAAATTTTTAGTTTTACTATGAATCCTGAAATATTTGAGTATTGCATAGTGACTTTAGTATTTAAATGTGATTTTTGTATGTGTTTTCATTTAAATCCAAACCTTAGTTTCTAACATAGTGGTTGACAACCTGTATTTAAAGGTGCAATCTTTTTAATATGATGTAAGAAGACATTGTAGTAAGGCACTTAAGCTAAACCTTGGGTTAATTTTTCTACAACCTAAGCTGCCAGATCAGTGGGTGCTCTTGGTAGTATCTGTAGGTAGAATTAGTGATTTCATTTCACCATTAGATTGTTTAAGGTCTTAAAGGCTTTTCCCAATTAAAAAAAAAAGCCAAAAGTAGAGTTAAACATTAACATTTTTCAGGTATTAGTTGGCATACTTTTTTTGGTGGGGGTGGGTGGGTACTAAGGATTTAACCCAGAAGTGCTTCACCACTGAGTTGCATCTCCAGCCTTTCATTTTTTTTATTTTGAGACAGGGTCTTATTAAGTTGCTTAGGACCTTGCTAAATTGATGATACTGACCTTGAATTTGTGATCCTCCTTTCAACCTCCCAAGTCAATGGAATTACAGGCATGCACCAGTATAGTTGGCTTTTGTCAGCATAATTTTAACTAGTTGACAACTAGCTAAAAAGGAGGAGCAAACTACATGTAGGCCATTAGTGAATAGAGCAGCTGACTTTCTGGAAACAATAGAAAGTAGATGGTTAGAATTGTCTACATTACAACTTTAGCCAAGAATAACTAATCCGTTTAAGTTTTATCTTGGTAACATACAAAGCCCACTAACCTGTTTTAGTATTTTTTGTTTTGTTTTAGAAAATTCATCAATGTTATTTTGAATACCAAAGTACTGTTTCACTGCCAGAATATTACTAAAGTCAGTTGAGTATAGGTTAATTGTGCTTATCAGATGGCATTTGTCATTGCTATTCTGTTTCAGTTCTCTGCAACTTTATGTACACTTTGTACATATCTTTGCTGTCATCATGATGTAGAAATCTTTTATTTTTCAACAGGATACGTTAATTGTTTGGTCAGAAGCTGAGAACTATGATCTGGCTCTAAGTTTTCAGGAAAAAGCTGGCTGTGATGAGATCTGGGAAAAAATTTGTCAGGTAAGTTTTGGGTTTTTTTTTTTTTAATTTTTGTTTTTTTCTTTGCAACGCTGGGAATTGAAACTTAAGGCCTTGGTAGGCAAGTTCTCTATCACGGAACTACATCCCTCCAGAGTCCTGAAATTTTATTTATTTGTTTGTTTGTTTATTTGGTGGGTGCTGGAGATTGAACCCAGAGGTGCTCAATCACTGAGCATATCTCCAGCCTCCTCCCACTTTTTTTTTTTTTTTTTTTTTTTTTTTTTTTTTTTTGGTAGGTATGGTCTCACTTGGTTTGGTTGCTTATGGCATCACTAAGTTACTGAGGCTGCTCTTAGACTTGAGATTTCCTGGGTCACTGGGATTATAGATGTGTACCACTGCACCTGCCTGTAATGATTTTTAGTACTTAAGTTTTTTGAATTAGTTTATGGATCTGATAATAATATAATCATTTTTTTCCCTTGGTTCTGCTAATGACAGTGCCAGATAATTTAATAAAATAGTTCAAGAAAGTGTAGTGTGAGCCTCCCCATTCCAAATAAGAATTATTTGATATGAGGCCCTGAATCAATAAACTTTTAACTGGGAATGGTTGCTTTGTTTCTTTTCTACCTTGTATCTTACTGTGCATCTTATGTTGCTAGAGCATTATTAGTATACAATATTAAACATAGTTTCCACTGATAAACAATTAAAAACTAATAAATAAGATTTTGTGATTCATATAAACTATACATAGAAAAAAAACAGAATTGTTTTTGTTACTGTTTTGCCTTTAAACCTGTGGATGATGGTGAAAGGGTCCTGTTTTTTTTGTTTTTCTGTTTTTTTCTTTTTGCTCTTCCAGGTGTTCTGTGAGGATTGTATTGAATATTTCATGTGAGAAATTTTCTATAAAATGAGATTTAACTTAAGACTTAAGAAATTAAGTCTTAACTTGTAGACATATACAATGCATGCAACAAATATTTGCTTTTCTGTTCTTGATTTAAGATGAGCTTGGATCATGTGTTCTTCCGTGCAGTGGGGCAGGGGCTGACCCATGTAAATAATGAAACATACTGAAGGGTATGAACTAATTTATAAAAAATATTATAGAGAAAACATTAAAAGTGAAAAATCACTTATTTAAATTACTAATTTACAAAATGAAAGAATGTATTTGAGATTGTTCAGAATATTAATGAAAGTATATAAGAATAGCCTTCTTAAATTATAAATTCTAACAAAAGTGATGTTTTATTTCATTCTCTTTTCCTCTCCGTCTTAACAGCATGGTAACTATACATGTACTCAGTAAACATTTAAAGAAGAAAAAAATAATGCAGAAGACAAACTCCTTGTGAAGAACTAGGATGTTGATTGATATATTCACTATAACATGTATTTATAGGATGGATAATATTTTGCAGTGATCAACATATAGGTTATACCTTCTTCTCCACCTCAGTATTTACTGTTTAATTTGTGGTTTTGAATATTTATATACTATTAAAGACTAAATATATTTGTACTAAAATTTTTTTGCTAAAATGTATATTGTACTGTTTTTACTCAGGTAGTTTGGGAGATCCCTAAAACCACTCTCAGGGTCCAATATAATTCATTGAAATGACTGTAAGAACCGATCAAAGCTAATGTACTTCTGGCTACAATTTATTATAGTGAAATGATGCAGATTAAGATTACCACATGGAAAAAGATACGTGGAGTAGGATCCAGGAAAGTTATGTCCAGGCTTGAGTTTCTAGTTTTCTCTCCTATAGACATAGTGTTTATTTCTCTCGGCAACCAGGTATGGCAATACTCATGAAGTATTGCCAGCCAGGGTAGCTTACCCAAATATTTGTGTCCAAGGTTTTCAGTGGGATCAGTCACAAAAGCATGGCTAACCTTAGTCTTCAACACCTCAAAAAGTGGACTACCTTCTATCATAAACCATATCATTAGCATAGAATATCCAGAATAGCCTGATGTTCCTTGGTGAACCAAGTCACAGCTTTAGAAAGAATAGTTCAGGTACAGAAAGATTATCTCTCGGAAGCTGAGCAAGATCCAAACCTTTCTTTGGGAAAGGTCAGTCCCTTTGCCAAGGTTTTTTCCCATCAAAATGATCATGACTGTCTAAGGATCTACATCTAATATAATCATTTATATGACAGAGCAATATGAGTGTGAATGTGCCTGTCATTTGAAAGAGCCAGTATAAGGTAGAGATAGATATGAAGAAACAGCTCATCTGTTTTATAAAGCCACAACATACTTTTTATATTTGTTTACTAATATGATTATTCATTTCCCTTCTTGATCTACTGTAATTTATACATTTTGATAAATTTGTACAGAACTGTTTAGCATAGATCTTAGCCAGTAGTTAATAAAATCCAGTTCTTCCTCAGGCTAGTCATTTTCTGTTGGCATCATATCCTCAGGAAGCTTAACTCCCATTTGTCAATTGACTTAATACATAATCAATATTGTTATAAGATTTATGCACATACATAAAAGTAGTTTAATCAGCCGTACCAGTGTTATGCATATCATAGTATGGTAGTAGATATAACCTGAAAAGTAAGAATTAATAGATACTAGCATATACTAGACTTTAGTCATTAACAGTCCAGTTCATCATAATATTATATGATAAAATGTCAGAGATGTCATTCATCAGAGTTTACAGGCTTCCATTCACCTATATCAGGTTCTAAGAGCAGAGATGATCTTGGAAGACATAAGATTTCACCATTCTAGGCATCTGTTGTAATTGAGCTAGGAGATCCTATCATCTTGCTCTGAACCTTTCTTGAGACACAATTATTAACATTGGATTTCTTTTGTTGAATTACCCATTTATTAATTCCTTTGCCCTCAGTTACTATTTCTCTCTTTGTCATTGATTTTTATGCAAAGTTTTCCAACATTTGAAGGAATGTTAGCTTTGGCCACTCTGATAGTCCTATAGGGTTAATTATTGTATAGATTACTTGAAATATTTGTGTATGTTGCTGATTATACATTTAGTTATTGTTCCTATAAATTATGTTTTACTTTTTGGTTCTGGATTGGGTTTGCATCTCCCTATTTGACCAGTGTAGGCCAGGATTAGAAGGAAAGATACTTTGCTTCTGACAGCCACTCAGGGGCCAGACTGATAGAGAACACATTTTAATTTTTCTAAAATATTGCAAAGTGGGAAGGAAAGGTGACATCAGAGTACTGACTTCCTGTACCACACTGATGATTAAACCCAGTGGTGCTCTGCCATCTATCTACTCCACCACTCTTCTCCCCCAACTTTTTTCTTTTTTTGAGACAAGGTCTTGCTAAACTGCCAGGCTGTTCTCAAACTTGAATGTTCCTCCCTCGGCTTCCTAGTTGCTGGGATTTTAAAAGTTTTGCCCAGATATTACATGTGGGTTTTTTTTTTTTTTGCTTGCATTTTATTGACTAGTTTAAGTTATACAGCTAAAAATAAGTGTATTGAAGAACATAACTAATGCATCTCAAAAGGGAGAGAATCAGAAATAGTTGGTGGACTACACCTATGGCCTCTATGTAAATATTTGGATGAATGTAGGGTTGACAAATCAGATCAGTGAAAGTTGACCTTAGGAGAGGATGAAAGAAATTTGTGAGGATTAATGCTAGATTACAGAAATAAACACTATAATCAATTTAATGCTTCTTGAATATTTTATTCTTAAACATGCAAGCTGTATTTATTTGAAGTATAAAGTTAACTTATCTGTTCTTTTTCCCGAGTAGTGAGCCAACAGATTTTGTTGTAAGCTGAGTATTCAAACACTGTAGACTTAGTGAAACCAGTCTTGTGATCATTCCTCCCTCATTATTCCAGTTTCTTTTAAAGAATTTGTAATCCTGCTGGTAACACAATTTATACTATATAGACATTTGTGATTCCTCTTCTAGTTTTTCCTCATCTATCCATTCTCTTATCTGTTCCACCACCACTATCCAAAATCAGTTGCTCATGTAAACTTTAGAATAATGCTCTAATTTGTCTATAGTCTAAAATTTATTCCATATAACTAGTACTACACCACACACACGTGGCCTCCCTTCTTTCCCCCCCACCCCCCACCAGTTTGTTCATGCATAGGATCCAACCCCAGTACCTTGGGCATGCTTGGCAGGCACTCTGCCACTGAGCTCCAATCCCCAGCCCAACCACATTAACTTTCTAAGAAGGTTCTGTGCTTACACTTCCTGCATAATTACTCAGTGTTTTAGCTTGTCATTCCGTGATTTGCCATCAGTTTACATTTCCAGTCTGGGTATTTGGCATTTGCATGTCACATATATTTCTGTCTCTCTGTCTTTGTGCAGTTTCCCTTGAGTTTTGAGTTTCTAGATAGTTTATCTCCTATCTAAATTTTACCCATCTTTGGCTTCCAAAGATCTCAAATACTGCTACTTTTATAATTCTTTTCCTGCTCCCCTTCATTCCACCCAAGTCCCGCCAACACACATACCAAGAACTGAAGGAAATTCTGAATTATCTTTGCATTTTATGTGAATTGCTCTATGATCTTGCTACTTATGTGTCAGTTTCCCCAAACCCAGCCACACTGTTGAAAAATCAAAAGTAAAAATATTCATCTCTGTAGAAAAAGAACTTATGTGCATCTGTGTATCTACATTTCTCTAAACTCTTAGATCATTTTTTCATGTGTTGTTTTGGTGGATACAGAAATTTGTAGAACTTAGGATGTTTTGAAGTGGAGAAGATGATAGTTGCATTCTTGTGTTAATTAGAAAAAATTTTATGAAGAGTTATTTTTTGGAGTACTTTATTGTAGAAAATTTGTTTTAGCCTTGCTTAACCTGAGTTGACAATCTGAATCATAATAGTTCGCTATTTATTGTTTTGTAATTTTGATATAGATTAAAAGTTGGAGGCTTTATCACAGATGTTAAATGAATATTGTTCTCTTGGGTTTTTATTTTATTCATTTTTGATGACGCTGGCAATTGAACCCAGGGATGTTTTACCACTGAGTTACATCCCCAGCACTTACTAGATTTTACTTTGAGACAGGGTCTCACTAAGTGGCTGAAGCTGACCTCGAATATCTGATCCTTCTTCCTCAGCCTCCTGAGTTGCTGGGATTATAGGTGTGTTAAACTGCGCCTGGCTGAATATCGTTTTTTAAAAATAGACTTTATGTCTTTTGGTTTGTAGCAAAAGCAAAATATTTTTCAAAGGCATTTTGGAGAAATCTTATTTTCTCACTCATTATAAGGAATGAGGTTTTAGTTTGGTTTAAACTTAGTAGTATCCTCATCCCAGCCAGTGTGGGTTGCTAAGTATCATACTTAATGGCTGGGTGGGGGGAGGTGAAATAGAAGAGTTTGCCTTCTTTAAAATGGAAAATTATTGGATATAGTGAAGATTAAATGACTATACAGTTATATAATATCAGCTGAAATATTCAGGCTATCCTGAAAATATAGGTGGAAAATTAATAGGTGAAATTATCTGTGGTCAGTTACTTGAGACTCAGGTAACTCTAAACTACTTAAATTCACTGGTCAGCGTGTTGATTTCCAAAATGTTGGAATTCTTTTAAATTCTAAAATAACTAGCTCTACTTCTGTATTTTAGGTTCAAGGTAAGGACCCATCAGTAGAAGTCACACAGGACCTCATTGATGAATCAGAAGAAGAACGATTTGAAGAAATGCCTGAAACCAGTCATCTAATTGACCTGCCCACGTGTGAACTCAACAAACTTGAAGAGATTGCTGACTTGGTTACCTCAGTTCTCTCCTCACCTATCCGTAGGGAAAAGCTGGCTCTGGCCTTGGAAAATGAAGGCTATATTAAAAAACTACTGCAGCTATTTCAAGCTTGTGAGAACCTAGAAAACACTGAAGGCTTACATCATTTGTATGAAATTATTAGAGGAATCTTATTCCTAAATAAGGCAACTCTTTTTGAGGTGATGTTTTCTGATGAGTGTATCATGGATGTTGTGGGATGCCTTGAATATGATCCTGCTTTGGCTCAGCCAAAAAGACATAGAGAATTCTTGACCAAAACTGCAAAGTTTAAAGAAGTTATACCAATTACAGACTCTGAACTAAGGCAAAAAATACATCAGACTTACAGGGTACAGTATATTCAGGACATAATTTTGCCTACACCATCGGTTTTTGAAGAGAATTTTCTTTCTACTCTCACATCTTTTATTTTCTTCAACAAAGTTGAGATAGTCAGCATGTTGCAGGTAAGTAAAGTAATTCTTCATGTTTTTGTTTTGAGATATGTAGTTCCTTCATATGTCAAGCTGGTATTCAAAAATGCTACTTTATTTACTTTAAATGTTCTATCAAACATAGAAAATTTGACTTTATCTTGTTTTGTGAAGGAGAAAAGTTTTTTTTAACACAAATTGTATTTGTAAGTATTCTCTGATGCAGCTGTTTTTAAGTTTTTTTGTATTTTTAAAATGGAGTTACCTTATGAATAACCCTGTTTTTATAGTACTGGGGATTGAACCCAGGAGCACTTTACACTGAGCTGCATCCCCAGTCTTTTTTATTATTTTTATTTTGAGAAAAGATCTTCTAAGGTAGTTGCCTAGCCTGGCTTTGAAGTTGCAATCCTCCTGCTTCAGCCTCCCAATAGTTAGGATTAAAGGCATGTCCCACCACACCTTGCACATGCTAGGCAAACACTCTACCACTGAAGCATCATCCCTCACCTTATGCAACTATTTTTTTTAACATATTTTATTTCATTTTGAAAAACACAATTATTATTGGGGTCTGTATGAGTATTTGTACTGAAAATGTCCCGGATAATTTAAATGTGCAACCAACATTGAAAAATAGTAATTTTTAGGAAATGATACTTAGGTTATTGACTTTGCAAAGTTGATTTTATTCTTTGTTCTTCAGTTGTAAATAAGAGTTTATCATGTTACTCCTTTACATCCTCATTATATAGTAATCATGCATTTGAAGATTTTTACACTGTGATATTAGAGTATATCCAATTTCCTACATAATTATCATTGTTATTTCCTTAACAGTCACTAAGTTTATTGAGAAGCTGTTATATACTTATTGTAGTGGTTCTCCAAATGTGGTCTGTGAACTCTGGAGGTCCCTGAAACCCTTTCAAAGGAGATCATGAGTCCTTTCCCTTTTTCAGCTTCATGTCAGTGTGTTATTTTTTCATAAACTAAAGCCAAATCAGTGTTTCACAACAGTTTGAATGCAGAGAAGAATCTAGTTGTCTTTTAAGCCAGACATTAAAGAGATTTGCAAAAAAAAAAAAAAAAAAAAAAGTGAAAGAGCCATTCTCCTTTCTAAACTTTAAAAATATAGAATCATATAGTTGTTTCTTAAAATACTTACTTGAGGGATTGGGGTTGTAGCTCAGTGGTAGAGCACTTGCCTCACATGTGTTGGTCACTGAATTTTATCCTCAGTACCACATAAATGAATAAAATAAAGGTATTATGTCCATCTACAACTAAAAATTTTAAAAATATATATAATTACTTGAACACATAATAGCTTATTAAAAATTAATACTTTCAAAGGCCTCCTTTGTTATTTTAATTGTGATAAATATCAATAAATGTAACCCACATAATAAAACTCTTTGGGGCTCTCCATATTTTTTTAGAGTTTAAAGGGATCCTGAGACCAAATCATTGAGAATATCTGACTTTGTACTTAGCTATGTGACTTTATTTTTATGATATTTCCATCCAATATTCACCTTTATATTGTTACTTTATATTTTGTATAGGATATCTGTCTCCAAATCATTGTTACAAATAATGAGTTTTTTGTTACTCTCCTGCAGTAAGTGTGAGGGAGTTTAAACTTACACATCAGATTCTTTTTATAATATTTAAAACCTGTTTTGTTTTGTTTTGTAAACCATGCTGTACAATTCAGGATGTTGTTTTTCTTATAGACAAAATGATTACAGTCTCAGGAGATGGGAGTCACTATCTATAGTTGATGTAAAGAACCTGTTGTCAGGATCTTGAAATTAGCTTTCCAGTTAACTGGTTTTGATTTCAGAAGGGTTTCCAAACCCTTAACAATGAATCATCAAATGCTCTTTTATACTTTAAAAAATTTGTGCAAACTAATCTATAAATATTTGTGATACATATTTGTCATATATTTTATAACAGGTTTGTGAAATTTATAATATAAATCAACTGTAACTTTAAAAAAAGGAAAGTTTTGCCAGGTACCATGGCACATACATGTAGTCCCAGGTACTCAGGAGACAAAAGTAGGAAGATCACAAGTTTGAGATTGGCCTCAGAAATTTAGTGAGTTCCTTTCTCATGAAAAGTTTTGGGAGTGTAGCTCAGTGGCAGGACACTCCTGTGTTCAGTCCCCAGAATGAAGTTCAGTACTACAAAAATGAAGATAAATTTGGCCTGGCACGGTGGCACACATCTGTAATCCCAGTGGCTCAGTAGGCCAAGGCCAGAGAACCACGAATTCAAAGCCAGACTCAGCAATGGCAAGGTGCTTAGCAACTCAGTGAGACACTGTTTCTAAATGAAATAGAAAATAGGGCTGGGGGTGTGGCTCATTGATTGAATGTTTCTGGTATTCAATCCCCAGTACCAAAATAAATAAATAAATAAATAGAATTTGAAAGAATAAAAAAGAAAATCTTACTCACTTCTGGTTCGTGAGATTCATTTTCTGAAATGCCCAAGTACTATGAACAAACTACCTGTTTGACTTTATTCTATGACACTTCCAACCAATATTTATCTTTCTGTTACTGTAACTTTATTTTTAGTGTAGAATATATTCCAGATGATTCTTTTACAAACTATAAGTTTTTCAAACTGAAATTTCTCATTATTCTCCTATAATGAGTGTGAAGAAGGTTAAACATGCACATAATTAAGTTTCTTTTATAATACATAGGAGCTTGGGGTTTTTATCTAATATTTACAAATCAGTTATGGCTCATGTGCTAGCAGTAGTGCTGAATTCTACTTAAAAAGATGTATGAGAAGGAAAGTAATTAAGATTGTGGTTCATAGCCTCTACTCATTGCCTAAAGCCCAACTTGGTTTTCTTTATAGAAGTTTCTAGTTAGGTATTAGGTGTTTCCAGGTTTTCTAGCATGCATGTCTTGTGGTTTCTTAAGTGAGTATTAGTCTGCTGTTGCATGAATTAAATAAGGCAAGTGAAAATGTATGCATTTTATCTAACTGGACCAAAATAAGGAAGTACAAAGGTTCATATAAATAATAGCTTAAATTAGGTTAATTAACTGAGAAATTACATTAAAGTACATAATGGCTCTAGTATACATGTGGGCATTCTCTTAAATCGTCAAGATAGGAGCATTAAATTTTAGTTCATCTGAATTTTCTAGCTAATTATAGATCAAAACCCCTGTTGCAGAATGAATAAATATGCTTCAAACTTTCCCCAACTCCGTGATACTGAGGATTGAGCTCTACCACTGAGCTATCCCCCCAGCCTTTTTATTTCATTTTAAGATCGAATTAATAAACTGCAAGTTTTTCTGGCCTTGAATTTGTTATTCTCCTGCCTTAGCCTTCTGAGTATCTGGTATTACAAGTGTGGACCGCCCTGCTGTGCTCAAAAAGTATTTTATAAATTAAGTCCCTAAAAGCCAATAAAATGAGGTTATTTCCTCACAAATAACTACAGAATGACATCCTTCTCACAACAATAAGTTTTAATTTCTCCCCTTACTGGAAATGATAGAGTTGATCTAAAGCCAACTGTTGTCAGTTGTTTGTTTCCTTAACATCTTTGAATATAATATTTTCACTATTCCATAGGTAAAAGTTGAGCATACCACAAACCCAGCAGTATTAGTGGTTTAGTTCTTTTTTTTCCCCCACATATTCTGTAGTTAATAAGGTTATAGCAATGATTTCAGTTACTAATTAAATACATAAAATCTTGAAATAACTTTAAAAGAAAAAAAGCCCTTTTGCTATGATGTGATTCTTTTGTGTTTAAGACTTTTTTTGGATTCAGGTATAAGACTAAACATAGTAAATTATCTTACTAGATTTGGCCCTTTCTAGCTTGAGTTTTGCTTTGGTTCCATTCTTAAGTTTGAACTTAGGAACCTATCCAAAGTTTATTTGCTAGGTGTGACTTTATTTTGTCTTATTATTTGGGAGACCTGAATTCTGAATTTACTAGCTAGCCTCAGATAAGTCCACTCATGGAACTAGGCAATCTTTGAATGATGACACAAAGCTTGATCTAAATTTAAATTTATTTATGTGATTCTAAAAATGATGAACAGGTTCTCTTTCATTTTGTCTATTTTTACATGATTGCAAAGAAGTTTGATTTAGTCTTTTAGAACTAGTTTTTTGTTGTTGTTGTTGTTGTTGTTGTTGTTTAATACCTGGGATTGAATTGCGAGGCACCAACCACTGAGCCATATCCCCAGCCCTATTTTGTATTTTATTAGAGACAGGGTCTCACTGAGTTGCTTAGTGTCTCACTTTTGCTGAGGCTGGCTTGGAACTCAGGATTCTCCTGTCTTAGCCTCCCAAACCACAGGCGTCCGCCACCACACCAGCTTCTAGTAACCCCTTTTTCCCACAAGGTATTTTGTTTTGTTTTGTGTTATTTTGATTTTTTTGTGGGATTTGTTATTGTTGTTTTGTTTTTACTATACTGGAATTGAACCCTGGGCCCATTACCACTGAGCTATACTCCCAGCCCTCTTTATATTTTCATTTTGAAAGAAGATACTGGCTGATTTGCTTAGACTGGCCTGTATGCCTCCAGTCTCAACGTACTGACAGCTGTAGTTACAGGTATTCACCACTACACCTGGCCTCCCACAAGGTTTTGTTTTGTTACCTGGAAAAGCAGCCACATACAGTTTATCCTGCACAATTGTGTTTTTTTAAATAAAAGTTCTTAAAACCAAGTAGAAAAGAAAAACTAAAAGATCTAAAGAGATTAGTTTAATTAATTTGAGAAGCAAGTTCAGAAAAAAGCATTCCAACTATGTGATGGGCTTTTAAGCTGTCTTAATTTACTTTCTTAATTTACATTGGAACAGTTTATTTGTGTATCTTAAGAAATATTATCAATAATAATAATGCTGAAGTCCATAGAAAATATACTAGGAATCAGAAAGCATTCTTCCGATGAATTATAACACTTGAGATTGCTTCTATGTATAATATTTTATGTAGTTCCAGCTGTCAGCTCACAAGTACTGAGTCATGTAAGAAGAATTTAATTGGCAAATTGCATTTATCAAGAAGTTGGAACTTTTTTCCTATGAAAATATTCTGACAGAGTTAATCTTCAGACAGGAAAGGATGAAGATTTAATTGGGAGAGATATAGGAAGATAAGAATTTATTAAAGGTGCGAATGGAGGTAAATATGTACTTATTTATTAAAATAAAAATATTGAGACCAGCCAGGCTCAGTGGTGCACACCTGTAATAACAGGACTTGAGAGGCTTAGGCAGGAGGATCACAAGTTTGAAGTGAGCCCTAGCAATTTAGGGAGACCTTAGGCAACTTGGTGAGAACCTTTATGGAAAGAAAAAATAAAAAGGACTGGGGATGTAGTTCCCTGCTAAAGTATTCCCCCCATCCCCCCAAAGAAATGTTGAGACCAGAATTATTTGGGGAAAAAGTGATTGAGGAATAAATGATAGATTGCATACACATTTCAGTTCCCTCAGAAGATGGATGATGCAGGCCACAGTACATAAGGAATCAGTGAAGTCAGTAAGGAAGGAAACATGGTTTTGAGTTAGGCAAATGAAGGAGTTTTGTCTTTAAATAGCACTCATTGATGGTTAGTGGGTGAGCATATTATACTTTCTAGGATTGTAGCTAGTGATTTCCCCCACCTGGTGCTGGGGGTTGAACTCAGAACCTCACGCATGCAAGGCAAAAACTCTACCACTGGACTATATACATCCCCAGTCTCCCAGTGATTTTCATTGATGAAAGCCAGTGTATTTCAAGAAAGGATTTAAGTGATGAAGTGCATCCTTACGTATTTTTTGATTTTACTGTCAGCTCTACATATATTATTGCTACAAACATTTGTAAAACATGCTATTTAATTAAAACTAATGGTAACTATTTGAGAAGGAATTCTGAAAATAAAACTAAAGCTCAATTTCAGTTATATTCTTTAGCAGTTTTTGGTATAAATCTCCCAAAGCAAATTTCTTTTCTTTTTTTTTTTTTTTTCTCTTTTTTGGCAATACTGGGGACTGAACAAGGGGCACTTCACCACTGAGCCATATTCCCAGTCTTTTTTTTTTTTTTTTCTTATTTTGAGCTAGGGTCTCATTAAACTGCTGAGACTGGCCTCAAACTTGCTGTCCTCCTGCCTCAGCTTCCCAAATAACTGGGATTACAGGTGTGCACCACAGCACCTAGGTGAATTTCAATCTTGACAACATTTTTTTTTCTTTATAATTTTGTGTTCTGCTTATTTTAGAAAATATAGTGAAGCAAAAATAAAAAACACAATCCATCACCAAAATACAACCACAAGTAACGTTTTAATTATAACCCTCTGAACTTTAGACACATTTAAATTTTAAAAAATACATACTCTGCTATATGTTTTGTTTTCCCTTTTAAGCAGTGCCTAGGGAAATTAATATTTACCTGTCTTAATACTTCAGAGTCATCAAATGAAGTATCAAGTGGTTTTTCATAAAATTATATTCTTGGAGTCCACAACAACGTGTAAGACTCTGCTCCAGTTATCTGTAGACTGTTATATACTGAGTTCTTATGCCTTAAATGACTTTGTAATTTTACCTGCTTTTGGGGGGTGGGATCCTGGGGATTGAACCCAGGAGTACTTTACCACTTATTCCTTTTTATTCTTTTGTTATTTTGACACAGGGTCTTATTAAATTACTAAGGGTGGCCTTGATTTAGATCCTCCTGCTTCCTCCTCCTGAATAACTGGGATTATAGGCATACCCCACTGTGGCTGAATTGTTGTTTTCTCAACATAGTCATACATGTACATAACCTTATTTGATCAGTTTCATTACCCAGAAATATTTTCCCTCCCTTCTTCCCTCCACCTGGTCCCTTTCTTGTATTCTACTGGTCTCCTTTCTGTTTTCATGAGATTCCCCCTTCTCTTATTTCTTTCTTTTTTATTCTCTAGCATCCACATATCACATTTTCTTTATCCATTTATCTGTTTGATGAACATCTAGGCTGATTCCATAATTTGACTATTGTGACTTGCTGCTATACATATGGGTGCACCCATGTATTGCTATGTATGCTGACTTTATGAATTGTGTTTACATAAAATAAAGAGTAAGTAGGCCATGAAAGGGTACTGGACAAAGTATCAAAGTGAATTGCTGCCACATCTTTTAGATATCTCTTTTTGTTTAGATTTCTTTATAGTCAGGCACAATGGTAATGCCTGTAATCCCAGCAATTCCAAAGACTAAAGCAGGAGACTCATGAATTCATAATCAGCCTCAACAACTTACCAAGGGTCTAAGCAACTTAGCAAGACACTGTCTCTAAATAAAATACATATACAAGGGCTAGGGATGTGGCTCAGTGGTTAAATACCCCTGGGTTCAATCCTTGGTACAAAAAAAAAAAAAAGTCCTTTATAAGTGAGATTTCTACCTAAATTGTTATATTATTGAATGTATAACTAGAAGTAAATGATATATTCAGTTTATGGGAAATTATAAATATATTCTGAAATTTTAGGTTTCAGGAATGAAAATGCTATTTACTTCTCATCAATTTTTATTATAGTTTGTGTAAATCATAATTGAACATAACATACTTCTGTTAATATTTCATAGTAATTGTTTTCATGCAGGAAGATGAGAAGTTTTTGTCTGAAGTTTTTGCACAATTAACAGATGAGGCTACAGATGATGATAAAAGGCGTGAATTGGTAAGCTGTTCTTGAAATTTACATTCTTGAAGAGGACTTTCCCTTTTGGCATACATAGCTTTTATCTTGAATTTGTTAAGAGTTTTTTTTTTTTTTAACAATAAGTATGGAATGAAAGATATATATTTAGGTTGAACTATATAATGATCATTCAAAGTTTCTAAAGTTTTCTTGTATAAACTTGAGATGTTCCAATGTGTTTTTCCCCAGTAAGGGAATTTGAGTGTCTCATAAATCCCAAAATCAGATAAGTGTCTTATGTCAGAACTATAAACCCACACACATTTTTGTTTTTACAGATATTTACATAGGGAAATTCTTTGCTTTTTAAACAAGAGGTATAAGGATGCTTCTTGAATAAGGGAATCATGGTTTGTCTTTTTAGAAATATTTTTCATCTTCTAATGTATTTACAAACTTTATTTTTAGATATAAAACATGTTTGGGAAAAAAGAATAGTGACTGCTGATTACCAGATGTTTGTCCCTTTTTCAAATATAATCAGATTCCAGGATTTTTAGGAAATCATGAAAAATTGATGACTTAAAGCTATGAGTCATCTTTGTAATTATATTTATTACAAGCCTATTTAGGTTTCTCATCTGTAAAATCAGTGTTTTAAAACAGAATCTCTGATGTCCTTTCTACTTGTAAAATTATATCATTTTTTGAGGGCTCATTGGGAACTCAGCTATAGTTTATTATAGGATGGTCTCTATTCAAATGGCTTATTTAGCACTCTTGTACTATAATGTGTTTAGAAAGAATGTAGGTTTTGGGAAGCCAGGATACTATGAAAAGACAAGATCCTTCAGAAGGGTGAATTTCATTCTGTGGCAGATCACATTATAGTGTGCCCAAGTTTATTTTTATGTTTATCATCTTCTCACTATAATTTTTAACATTACAGGTTAATTTTTTCAAGGAATTTTGTGCATTTTCTCAAACATTACAACCTCAAAACAGGGATGCATTTTTCAAAACTTTGGCAAAATTGGGAATTCTTCCTGCTCTTGAAATTGTAATGGTAATTATATGGTTTCTTTTCATGCTTTTGGAATTGTGAATTTGAAATTGATTTATATTATGGATGGGAAAGAATTTATTGTAGTACAATATATATTAGATTATTTTTTGACACCTCAAGAGAGTTTGGTAAGACATACTGAATTCTTTAATTTAGTTTTATTCCCCTGAAAATGATTACTGAAACAATGATGTCAGCTCTCAGATTTTTACTTAATTTATAATACCAGTGTTATAATTTGCATATGATACATCTCTGAGTGAAGAAAAATATCTCATGTTTTTGAAAGATCATTATATTTTCTGTAACAAGTATGTTTCATAGATGCCAATAAAATATTTTTTTTCTTTTTTACTTTTTTTTTTTTTTTCTTTAATATCTTTTTTTTAGACCAGTGAATGGAACGAGGCAGACTGGACCCAGGAGTCTAGTATTACAATATGGGTTCAGGGCATGTTTCTCAAAATTTAGTTACGAGTTTATCCATTGGCATTTACTGAATGAAAAATTAACATGAGACTTCTTTTTTGGTGGTATAGGTATTGAATCCAGGGCTTTGTATATACCAGGCAAGTGCTCTACAACTAAGCTATATCCCCAGCCCTTTTTATTTTTTATTTTGAGGCACGGTCTTATTAAGTTGCCCAGGGCTGTATCAAATGTGATTCTCCTGCCTCTGCCTCCCAGATATCTGGGATTATATGTGAGCCCTACTGTGCCTGACTAAAATGAGAAAATTTTATTCATTTTGATTTGTTAAATAATCCATTATATATTAACATAAACTTAAAATTTTCCCAAATCAAAAATAATTTAGTGAAGAGCATGGCATCATTTGCCCATTTTTTGTTTTGCTGATCCCTTTAATGTCTTCATAGTATATAACTAGATTCTCATAGCTACTGCTATGTTTAACTTGTTCTTAGATCTATCACATCATGTAGCCTCTGGAAAATCCCACTGTGTTTGTGATTGAGAATGAAAAAGAAAATATCTATTACTTAATACTATGAATATAGTTTTAATCTGTACACTTCCTGAAAAAAAGAGTATTAGACCCCTCAATAGGATTCCCTGAACCACAGTTTAAGAACTGCAGGGACTGTTTCCACAGTCACTGCCTTGGAAAACTGAGTTATGGGAAAGGGACAAAAGTGCCCAAGAAGTGTTTTCAAAAGCATCATCTATTAGGCAAGTCAAGGAAGATGGAGTCAGTTGCTGAAGAGTAATCCTATTATGTCTAGAACAAAAGATAGAATTCTGAAAGGCTTTGATGGAAGCATATTCAAATTTTTTAGTATATATTTAATAAATCCCCTTTCTGAATTTTTGGCAGCTTTATTTGAGAGGGGGGTTCCCTGGAATTGAACTCAGGAGTACTCAGCCACTGAGCCACATCCCTAGCCCTATTTTGTATTTAATTTAGAGACAGGATTTCACTGAGTTGCTTAGCACCTCACTTTTGCTGAGGCTGGCTCTGAACTCTGAATCCTCCTGCCTCAGCCTCCTGACTACTGGGATTACAGGTGTGTGCCACCATTCCCAGCTTTGGTAGCATTTTTAAAGCGTTGCTTTATAATCTTATGCTGATTCTTATATTTAAGATCTGTGAATATTTCTTTGTGATGGTAAAAACCAGCAACAACTAATCAGAGAGCTGCCCCAGAATTGTAATATTTATAAAAAGAAAGAAAATGATTGTATATTTTGATTGCACTTCAATGTCTTAATTCAACTTTAGAGGTAATACATGGATTTAGTGGGGAAAAGGTAAATGCAAGAATAAATGTTAACAGTCTCTAAATAACCTAGCTTTCCTTTTATTAGGGCATGGATGATTTGCAAGTCAGATCAGCTGCTACAGATATATTTTCTTATCTAGTAGAGTTTAGTCCTTCTATGGTTCGAGAATTTGTAATGCAAGAAGCCCAGCAGAGTGATGATGTAAGTAATAATTCTGGGGTTCTATGTGAATAGTATTAATAAACTATTGTGAGAAAAAGCATAATTTTAGGGAGGAAGACAGCGTCTCATTGGGGGGTTCTTTTGGCCAGAGGAATCCTAGCCACCCTAAATCTTAATATCTCAGATAATTAACAAATAATAAAACACAAACACTCAGAAATATATTTACAAAACCAAAGCCCCTGGTAGATCTAGTCCACAAGGGTGCTTGAACTAGAGGAAGACAAAATGGCTCCAGCATTTATTTAAGGGGGTAGGTATATCAAAGGCAGGGGTAAGGTTTCAGGGGCAGAGTCTTGCTTTGTGATGTCCTGCAGTCTGCAGGTTGATTGACAACTTGGCAGGTCACATCCATCTCAGGTGCTCTGTGGGCTCTTAGGCAGAACTTGAGGGGGAAATTCACCTGCATCAGGTGGTGTATCCCTGTGGGGAGTGCCCCAGGGAGTTCCCACAGCCAGACTTATCCCCTCACAAGGCTTTTCACTATGTCCACACACAGCCCATAGCTCGTGACACATAACTGTGATCTTAAATTTTCAAAAATAATAGATTTCTGAACAGTCGTGACTGGCAAATTCAGAATATGTTGCAGTTAGTTTGTTTATTGCAAAGAAAAAACAGATATTTAACAAACCAGTATTAGCATAAATTATAATTAAATCAGCTTCTTTCCTTTATTCCCCCAGTACTTAGAATTGAACCCAAGGCCATGGACATAGTAGGCATGTGCTCTGCCACTGAACTACATATTCCCAGTCCTCAAATCAGATTCTTAAATGTTGATTTTTTTTTTTTTAATTTGAAGAGTTAAAGAAATGGAATTTCAGATCCTTAGGATATTTGCAGATCAGATCCTTATAACTAAGAAATTGCTTTCCCTTGTTAAATTTTCTTGGAAATGAAAATTTAGTGATGAGACCAATGTTGTGTCTTCCCATTGCAGAAAATTTAGGATTTTCCCCTCAAATTATTTTAAGGACAAATGAACACATAACTGTAATTTAAGTGTTTTTTCTTATAATGTAAAATTGTTTTAGTGTTAAATAAATGATAATTGAAGTGTAACTATGCCTTGAAGGAAGGTGTTTGATTCCCAATTTTAATTTGGTTAACTCAATTATAGAGTTAATTAGAAATTACAGTTTTACATATTTCTTGTTTACTCTTCCTTTTTTTCTTTTAAATCCTCCCACTCTCCATGGTGCTAGGGATGGAATCCAGGGCCTCACATGGGGACATGGCTCAATGGCATGTGCATTGCCATTGAACCATGCCCCCAACCCCACCTTGGTGTCTCTTAATGTCTACTTAAATTTTATTTCCTGTATTTTTAATACTTTGTGTTTGTTTGCTGTACTGGTGATAGAACCTAGGGGTGCTTTATCACTGAGTTACATCCCCAGCCCTTTCTATTTTTTTATTTTGAGACAGGGTCTCACTTAGTTACAAAGTCCTCACTAGGTTACTGAGGCTGGCCTTGTACTTGCAATCTCAATCCTCCTACCTCAGCCTCCCAAATTGTTGGGATTACAGTAACATGTCACTACCCAGTTCCAATTTTTTTAAAAGGAATTTTGGAATTGATTTTGGAATTGATTGAATTAATTATATTTAGGCAATAGAGAAAAATACCATTCTTTTTAGAAGATAACTTTGAAATTAATGGTCCTGGGCTGGGATTCCAGTTAAGTGATAGACTATTTACCTAGCATGTGCATCTGAGACCCTAGTTCTATCTCTAGTACTGGGGGAAAATAATAACTCAGTATGCCAAAAATTGCTGTCTTAAAAAAAGAAAAATATATTAACATTTCCATTGCTCCATCTTTAGTGATGTGTGTGATTAAAGGCATTCATCATAAACTGACCATAAATCTCACTCACATCATGATAATCCTAAACAGTTAACTTCTAGAATTTTTAACTGTCAAAAATTTGATTCCAGTTTTCATTGGCAATATTATATTGTTTTCATTTAATTGATGGATAAGACTAGAGAAGAAACAGTTAAAGGAACTTTTTCAGTTTCTTTTTTTTTTTTTTCTTCTCTTTTGAGACTGGATATCCTTGTGTTTCCCAGCTGGTTTTTTGAACTCCTGGGCTTAATATCCACCCACCCACCCTTCCAGCCTTCTAAATAGCAATGGTGATAGGCATATGCCATTGAACCTGGCTTCTCTTTTTCCTAAAATTATAGTCTTCAAGGTCTTTCATTTTCTGAATTTTCTAAGACTTAAAAATTTTATAATTTGAACTTTTCCTTGTCTTAAAAGTAATTGTTAGCCTAGAAGAGAGATATATTTAAAGTTTGTTTAAATTTTTTTTCAAGATTGAGGATTCTACTTTTTTTTTTTTTTTTTTTTTGCCTCCAATGCTGGGTGTTAAACCCAGAGAATTGTGTATGAAAATAAATACTCTACCACTGAACTACAGTCCCAGCCCTACGTACTAAATTCTGTTTGGGACCTTAAAGAAGAAAAAAGAAGATAACATGTATTTGTTGAATAGTTGATACTTTAATGCCCTTTTAAAAAAAATCAACTTTTACTCCTATTAAGGAGCAAATTTGGTTTTAGCAACATATATTACAGTATTCGAATATGTGCAAGACACAAGGAAATATTAACAGTTTTTTTTTTACAGTTGTCATTGTTTCTGAGATAGAAGGATCAGTTTAGCAGTAAATATTGTCTGTTATGCCACAGATTGCACACATTTTTGTACTAATTGCCTTTGAAACATTGAGTAGACTTTACTATAGAATCTGACAGGATTAGTAATGGGACTATTATTACTTATTCTGGCAAGTATTTTCTCATTTAAGAATGAATTTTAAAATTCTTTGAAGATGATAATTATTATTTAAAAGAGTCCTTATTTTAAAGATTTATACTGAAATATTATAGTTATTGTTTTATATGGAGTATACTTCAAAATGATTTTTAGAGGATATGGATAATTTGGTTGGAAGTATACAGGTTAAACAAGATGGGCCATGAGTTAATAATTGCAAAAGTAGAATGATAGGTACATAGGATTTATTACGTTATTTTCTTTAGCTTTGATATTTTCTCTGTCTCTGAGATTTGTCATGAAAAGAAGTTATAAAAACTACGCCAGGCTGCCTATAATCCCGGTAACTTGGGAGGCTGAGGCAGGAGGATCACTAGTTCAAAGCCAGCCTTGTCAACTTAGCAAGGCTAAGCAACTCAGTAAGACTCTGTCTCTAAATAAAAATTTTTAAAAGGGCTGAGGGTATAGTTTAGTGGTTAAGCACTCCTGGCTTCCCTCCCTGATACAAAGAAAAAAAAAAAAAAAGAAACCCACAAGCTAATTTCTTTTGTAAAATGTTGAATATTTTGTATTGAAAAATACCACATTTCATTTCTTAAAATTTCTCTACATTTTTAAAAGTTTTTGCTTTTGGTTTTGATAGTGGGTATTACACCCAGGGGCACTTAACTACTGAGCCATATCCTTAACCCTTTTTTTTAGTTTTTTTCTATTTTGAGGCAGGTTCTTGCTAATTTGCACAGACCCAGCTAATTGGATCCTCCTACAAATTTGTAGAAAAGATAAAACCCTTCATAGTGGTTCCCCAGTTGTTACCATTTTATCTGTCATTTGCTTTTTTTTTCTTTTAATTATTTTTATATACACTCATATATACCTACATATGTATTGTTTTCTTTTTAAACTATTGAAGAATAAGGTACACAAATGATGGCATGAGGGCTGGGGCTGGGGCTCAGCGATAGAGCATTCGCCTAGCATGTGCGAGGCCCTGGGTTTGATCCTCAGCACCACATAAAAATAAATATATAAAATAAAGATATTGTGTCCAGCTGCAAATAAAAAAGAAATATTAAAAAAATAAAGACAGAAATAATGGCATAATGTTTCCTTTATAGCCTTCATTCATATTTTATTTGTTGCCCAGTGATCTCTATTTTAGCCAAGAAAAAAACAGTTTCTGATCCAGTGTTCCAACAATTTGGGTTTGTCTTATGTATCCTCACAGTTATCAAATTGTTTTTCTGTGGCAGAAATGGTTCAGATGTTGTGTTTCCTTTATTGTGTCATATTAGGAATTATATCTAACTTTTGTTCTGATATTTTGGTTTGTTTCTTGAGATAGGATCTCACTTTGTTGCCCAGAGTGGCCTCAAATTTACAGTCCTCCTGGGGTTGTAGCTCAGTGTAGACCACTCATCTAGCACATGCAAGGCCCTGGGTTTGATCCTCAGCACCATATAAAAATAAATAAATAAAAGTATTATGTCCAAGTAAAAAATAAGTTGTTTTTTTTTTTTTAATTTTATGATTCTCCTGCCTCAGCCTCCAGAGTAGCTGGGATTACTGGCACGTGCCACCATACCCAACTTTTATTTATTTATTTTTTAAATATTTTTATTAGTTGTTGATGGACCTTTATTTTTTTTCTTTTTTTTTATTGGTCGTTCAAAACATTACAAAGCCCTTGACATATCATATTTCATACATTAGATTCAAGTGGGTTATGAACTCCCATTTTTACCCCAAATACAGATTACAGAATCACATCGTTTACACATCCACATTTTTACATAATGCCCTATTAGTAACTGTTGTATTCTGCTACCTTTCCTATCCTCTACTATCCTCCCTCCCCTCCCCTCCCATCTTCTCTCTCTACCCCATCTACTATAATTCATTTATCTCCTTGTTTATTTTCCCATTCCCCTCACAACCTCTTATATGTAATTTTGTTTAACAATGAGAGTCTCCCTCCATTTCCATGCAATTTCCCTTTTCTCTCCCTTTCCCTCCCACCTCATGTCTGTTTAATGTTAATCTTTTCTTCCTGCTCTTCCTCCCTGCTCTGTTCTTAGTTGCTCTCATTATATCAAAGAAGACATTTGGCATTTGTTTTTTAGGGATTGTCTAGCTTCACTAAGCATAATCTGCTCTAGAGCCATCCATTTCCCTGCAAATTCCAT